AAAAAAAAAAAAGCGAATTTACATAAATAAGAAGAAAATATAGAAAACAAACTAAACTAAACTAAACCAAACTAAATCAAATCAAACCAAAATATAAAAACGTCGATACGAGAGCAAACGGATAAGAGAAATTAAAATTTGATACCTTATAAAAAGGAGGATATATAAACAATAATTGATATGAACAAAATCATAAAATATTAATAGCAATAGACTATTATTATTATTTAAAAAAAAAAAAAAAACCAAACAAAAATGCTCTCGTACGATTCTTCACGTAGAAAGATCTCGTGTGTGCTTCTTAATAAGCATGTAAGCTTTGCAGCAATTAACCAATCGAGAACGGTGGGACCGACTCGATTTCTGGGCCCCAAGTCTAAGTCTCGGAAGCCGAAACCCGGTTGGTTTGCCCGGAGAACTGAGTGAGAAACAACACTCGCACAGGTTTTTGTCAGGTAGTCAGAGGAAAATCGCATTTTATGTAACATACATTTACATACATATATATACATATATGTACTAACTTGGTTTTTTTTAAATATTTTCTTTCTTTTTTTTTTCTTTATAAATCTTTTGACAAAACCTTCAAATCTCTCCCATATCACGTTGATTTATTTTCCGATATCAATGAAGAAAAGGTTCACGTTGATGGACATCAATATGCCAATCACGTGAACAAAATGATTCACCTTTGTTCCAATGACCAATTTTGAAAACGATCCCTAATCCTTAAACACTCCCTGTGAAAACCCTTTATCTTTTTATTAAGACAATAAACAACCAGCTTCGACCTATTTTGATCGAAACCACCCACACCCCCAGCCCCTACTCTCCACCCCTGCTCACCACTGCCACGAATGCGACGACACCTCTGAACTTTTACAACCTCTGCTAAACAACTACCAAAGAGGGGAGACGTTTGTACAGAAATTACTTTTACAGTAGTTTAGTTAGAAAGTTCGCTCTTATCCTTCTTGTTCTAGCTGTTGTTGTTGTTGTTGTTGTTGTGTGTGTTGTTGTTGTTGTTTTTATAATTGTTGTTGTTGTTGTTGTTGTTTTTATTGTTGGTGTTGTGATTGTCTAATTTAAAAAAAAAAGAAAAAAATTGTCATTCTTGTTGTTCTTGTTGTTGTTCTTTGCTCTCAGCGCGACTCTTTTCTAGGGGGAATTACGAGGACGCGGGAAAGCGATTGCGAAAACAATGCGCGCAACTGAACATGTTTGAAAAATCGAGAAACACATTTAATTAAATGAGAATTAATAATTATAACAAAAATAAGAATCGAATAATAAAACCCAAAAAAAAAAAAAAATACAAACAAACAAACAAAATTAAAATAGAACATAAATCCTACAGGAAATGAACGACAGAATTAAAACCAAAAAAAAAAAAAATAAAAAATATAAAAAACACGAAATGTTTTTAGAAGGAATGCGAAACAGCAACGAAAAGAAAATTATAAACAAACAAAAAAAAAACCTTAGAAACCTTGTCTTTTTACTCTCTTTTTCTCTATTTCTTGGTGGTCTTGTCTGTGTATACAGAACGCGATTCGCACCAATCTATCATTGCACAAGTGTTTTGTGCGCTATGAGGACGACTTCGGGTCATTCTGGATGGTGGACGACGCCGAGTTCGTAAAGCGGCGGCATCTGTCCCGCGGCCGCCCCAGGAAATATGACCAAAACCCATCATCCACTCCACCCCACCTCTCCGCACAGTAAGCACTACCACTTTTTAGAATTCTGCTGGCTGGCTGGCGCGACGTTCTGACCTTGACACATACGGTACATTACGAACGTGCCGACCGGGACGATTTCGCTTGGTCGTTGTCTACAAAAAAAAAAAAAAAAAAAAAAAGGAAAAATATTTAGTAAAAATTTGAAGAAAAAAAAAAAAAGAAAATATTCAAGTACGGATCAATTAAAAACGTTAACACGGATTTTCTAACTTGTTGCCTTTTGTTATTGAAATCATTTCTTTAACGTTATCGTTGCATCTGTTTGTTTTTTTTTTTGTTTTGTTTTGTTTTGCAAATACAAATTGATGATACATTTTGTTACACCTTTCAATTTGTATCTCATATCAAAAATTGTAATATTCTTTACAAATGACGATCTTTGTTAAAATTTATTGTAATACAATACATGGATTATTTATGAACAATAACAGTTTGCAACGAAACGAAATTGTTTACCTAAATCACTTGAATATCATTTAAAATTGAATATTAGCTTGCATATCATATCTAAGTAATCTCAAATTTTTATTTACAATAAAAGAAAGGCAACTGGAAGAAATTCTGTAAAATAATCCAACTCCCTAAAAGAAAAAAAAAAAAAATTAGAATTAAAAAAAAAAACCAAGAAAAAAAATGAATTCCGCATCATGCCTGCCTCTCAAATGCCTTTAGATTCCAAATCCCTTAAAAAAAAAGAAACAAATCAAACCTTAGTGAAAATCCATGATTCTTGTTTTGCGAACAGAGGTTTTAATTTCCTTCTTCAGAAAAAAAAAAAAAGAATAGAAAAAAGCATTTACAAGAACAAATGTAAAGTAAAATAAATTAGAAATAAATTTTCAATTAAACAAAACATTTGATTGGACAACCCCTGTTCGTGAGACAACGAGACAGCCCTCATAGCACATTTTCCCATCTCTCTATCTCTCTCTCTCTCTCTATATATATATATAAATCTATAGTAATGTAGTACGAAAACCAAAAAAAAAAAAAAACAAACATAAAAGCTCTATAGCACAATTGAAGAGCTTTAAAAACCTGCACGAACCCTGCAGGAGAGCCCAGCCACATGACGATTGGTCAGAACTGCAGGATGATAATAATAAATACCCAATGTTATTTTAGTGGTTGTTTGCCCGCATGAATGATCCGAACGATCCCCCTTTTGACGATTATCGTTTTTATTCGAAAACAACCACCTTCCATCACTTTTTCAAAAATAATCCTTCACCATTATTCTCTTGGCAATATTTTCCTTAACCTTTAACCCTTTCAAACAAAACTTTTCCCAATATAACACACACTCGCTTTGAAATATTTCACAGCGCTTTTGTACTAGTGTCGGCTCTGATTTTTATTTTTATTTTTTGTTTTTTGTTTTTTTTTTTTTTTCCAAATAGCGTCTTGCGAAAGCAAAAAGCGTGCGTTCGTGTGAATGAGAGTGTTGATTTGTTCAAGTTTTTTATTTAAATTTTTATTTTCCATCTATCTCTCTTACTTTCTCTATCACTTTCTTTCTATTTCTCTGTCTATCTTACAATTCTCCTTATTTTATCAAAATATAATTATGGTTTTTAGTTTATTTTTAATTAAGATTTTGTTAAAAGCCCACCTTTTTAGTGTTTTATCTGATTTTTGTTTTTTTTTTTTTTTTTTTAATTTTTCTATGATTTGAAGTATCATCCAAATGACAATGGAGAAATTGTTTTATAACAAAATTTATAATATTACTTTTTTTTCTTTTCAATCTTCATCGAATTTAATTTTTGTATCTTTTAAAGGAGAGTGAGAAATATTTAATTATTTAATTATTATTTATTTTTCAATTATAATATATATATATATATATAATATTTATATTTATATAATAATATATATTTTATTCGAATATTTATTTTGTTTTTAACTCTTTGCGGCATAAAATTTCAAATAATAAAATAGCCCCAAAATGTTGCATAAAAATTTGATTACGTTTTAAATCAAACCAAATTGTTATATTTTTTATTTTTATTTATTAATAAAGGTATTACATATAACGTATGTAATAATGTAAAAAAAACATAAATAAAAAAAGATTTAATAACCAATTGTTTTGCGTTAATAAGATGAAATATAAACTTATGAGCATGTGTAACTATTGCAATAATATTTCGAGGTGGGACTTAAAAACACGGTGGGGTCCGTCCCACCGTGCATTACGTTGTATCAAAAAGATGGGGGACACTTTTAATCCTATCGTGCCCCAAAGAGTTAATCCTCACCATTGATTTTCATCATTAAATATTACAATCCTAATGTACGAATGATTATATTATTATTATTATTATTATTATTATTTGGTTCGATTGAAAAATAATAATTGTTTATTATAAATGAGCTCTTAGCTAAAGCGCATGCGTAAATTATTATATGTTCAAATCGTACGTCACTAACTCTATAGTCACGGATGATACGGAATTCTCCATTCATCGCTACAACTATATCTATCTTCTAACATCAGGTATCTCAAAAAACAAAAAAAAAAAACAAAAAAAAAACAATACAAAAAAGGCAAAGTAATTTATCTCAATTTATTGTATTATTATGTCAATTAACATTCTTCAATTTCTTATATATTAATATTTTAATATTATTTAGAACAAAAATATAAATAGTATTTTTTATCTAACACTTTTTTTTTTTATTATACTATCATCATCTATCTATTTCTATTATCTATTTTAAACTTGTTAATATTTGTCTATTTATATCTACATATATCTATACAATGTAATCTACACTTTCTTTTAATGCTTGCTTGCTATCTCCATCTCTCTCTTTCTCTCTCTCTCTCTCTCTTTTTGTATCTATCTTTTTCTATGTATCTATCTATCTAATTCTCTCCTAGTCTCTAATAGTTCTTCCTATCTTCCTATCTCTCTCTCTCTCTCTCTCTCTTTCTATCTCTTTTTAATACCAAATTTTATATCTATCTATCTTTCTCTATCTATCTATCTATCTATCTATCTATCTATCTATCTCTTTCTATTGATCATCAGCGCTTTTTTCTAATTACTTAATAAATGGCTCGATGATATTTTAAGATTTTTTTCTACAATATTTATTCATCTATCTTCGCATGCACTCGAAATTATTATTCCATTTTTCTCTCGCAAAGAAAAAAGAAAAGAAAAAAAGAAAAGAAAAATAATAATAATAATAATAATAATAATTGTGAAAAATAATAATAAATATATTTCATATAAATAGAAAATTGTTTTTTTATGGGAAAGGGGGGTGGCAAATTTATCAAATTGTCAATTTATTTGCGAGAGACTATAAGCTTTAAAGAAAGACGATACTTTTTTATATATATTTTTTTATTTATTTATTTTTTTTTTTAATCTATTAGATAAAAGTATCTCTTTCGATTCTCATACACTCGGAATATCAAAAAAAAAAAAAACAAAAAAAAACAAAACCCTTAAGATGGATGTGTTCTTGTGGAAAGGTAAGCTTCACAGGTAATTCTGAAAGCCATTTATAAGTAACGAAATCGTTTCACAAATATTCTTTTTACAATAATACACAAATTGTTTGATTTTAATATTAATCAAAAAAAAAAAAAAAAATAAAAAAAAAATGAAAAAAATAAAGAATAAGATGTGAAACGAGGGCGCTTTTATTTCTTCTCTTCAAGTTCTTTTTTTGTCAATATTACTCTAATCTAATCTCACTCGAAAATATTCTT